AATGCCTGGAACTGCCCCTGGGCAGGAAAACTTTTGTATTGTGAAGGCGCGCCAACGTATACGCTGCCTGTCACGCAGGAGTTTTATTTTTTGTGTCTTCACTGCTGGGAAACATATTCAGATTGGTTTGGTAGCTCAAGTAGAATGTATTAAAGTAGGACAACTTTTAATACCCAGGAGTTTCAGTGTACGTTCTTTTTCGAAAAAAGCTTTTACTTTTCGTATCTGGTTGGTGGCGTTTTTATACAAATAGCTCATAAATCTGAGGAAGAAATGTATTTCACATAAAGGTCACGTCTAGTATGAGAGTTTTAGATATTTACATTTAGTTGTATTTCATATATCAATAGATTTTTTTTTTTTTTAAAGCAACCTGTTAGTAGTCAAAAACACACGGTATCCTGACTCCTTCATTACAGGTCAGTTAATTAACACAACACTTGTTTTAAACTCAGTGTCTTCTTACAGCCAGTAACGTGTCACACTGTGATGCAGAATGTAAATACTGTCATGATAAGTGCTTTAAAGGCTAACAAGGCTAGTTCATGCTAATGGAGGATGTTGAAATTAAAGTTAATTTGGCTTGTTGGGACCCCGACACCCCGAAACCCCAATTGCGAGTATATTGAAAGTAGGAGATTGTCATATCGAAATACATATACTTTGTAAACATTGGTGGTTAGCCATGGAATTTACAATGTATATATTTGTAAATATATGGAAATATATATATAAATATATATGTGATTCTATATACATAGGTAAAATGTGATACACAGAAGGTTCTGGGCCCAGAGGAACCACATACTCAATGGCAGCTATCATGGACTATTATTATTATTATTATTATTATTATTATTATTATTATTATTATTATTATTATATTTGCAGTGGCCAACGGTTGGGAAACACTACAATATGCAGAGTCCAGTTTAGGATGTTTTTAAAGCACACACTGTCTTGAGTCCTGTGAGAAATAAATTACATCGGTGTAGAAACGATAATCTTTACTCAGTATAAAACCCTTTTGAGGCCTCAGATATACGGCACTTCAACATTTGATATCTGACAACACGTAACTAGTAGAGTTTCTTTTTAATGATACCTTTATAGTGTGGAAAAAAAAAGAATAAAACACTGCACGGGACTGACGTGAAGGCATCGCTGACAAATCAATGTTTCTGCCTCTGCGGGCTGATATAGGATTAACTTCAAAGGCTGTTTTCACATCACAGTTAAAAAAGAGTGATCTTTTTTATATGGAGTGAGCTCAGATAGTGAAGCCACAGTCACATCTGAAGCATCTTTGAAAAAGCCTGGTAGTCTGGATTAGCAGCCCGGATCAAAATTGTGCTGAAAGTCATCTTAATGTGATCTAAGTGATCGGATTCTCATGGGAAGTCCCTGGGGAGTCCTCCTCTGTAGTCTGCACCCGAGCCGCGTAGGCCGGGGACTTCAGACACCAAAGGTCCACTGACGCAACCTCAGTCCTGCCACTGGTAACCCTCATCTGACAAAGGCATTAATGCACTGCCATCTGATGGTTAACTCCAGCTGATGCAACGGAGAGTTAGGGATGGATCTGCCTTCAGCTGGTGAAGGCAGGACTTTGTAGAAAAGCTCTGAATCTGCAAGATAATGCTGAGAATGATGAGAGCAGTCAGAGAAGGAATGAAACTAATCTTGCAGCGAGAACTCTGTCTCACCCTCCACCCCCCACCCCCCACGGGCCCCGACCATGACGTCGGAAAAATTAGCCATCAACTACCATCTCATTGTAAGTAGAATTTCTGGACAGGAACAGGATGGATATTCTGTAGAGGCTGTGATTGTGCTTGTTGCCTGCCGTTGTTACTTCTCTCTCACACGGTGAAAGTGTTCACCGCACAAGCTCTGGGCTCAGCAGCCTCACCGGTGTCTCCAGGCCATCCATCTTACAGAGGGAAGATCATTATGCAGTCAACAGGCAGCTTTAGACTGGAGGCAGGTGGGACTGCCAGTATTGGATGAACCATAGGCTGCTGCTGTTCCTCACGGAACATCCGTACACAACAAAATCAAGACGGTTCATTCCCTAAACCTTTGTTCATTCTGTTCTTGGCAGACGGCCATGATTTGTTGCGCACTAAGCTGCATTTGGAGGCATTTTTTGTTTTACTGTTTATTTATTTTCAAAATTATTTTCCATCAAAGCTCATTCAAAGGACAAAAGCCCTAAATGTGTTGTGATTACAAGTGAGTCTGCGCATCTTGAGGCAGCTTTAACGGTTCTCTACACAGGGTTCCTGCAGCTCAATGTGATTAATGTTTCAGACGTTTAAAATAAAGGAAGAAAAAATAAAAGGTCAGGACAAAGTTGTCAGATTACTGGTTGGTGCAGGTGGTGAGTGGAGACCTGAGACAGAACCAGGGCAGAACCGGGCTGTGATGTTCTCACTTGGAGAGTCAAGTTCGTCCTGGATTAAATGCATCAAATTTTTCCGGTACTCGTTTATGGCATGCTGCGAAATGCATTAATCATCAAAACATAATTTCAGTAGAATTTTCAGCTTATCAGGATTTGTCCGTCATCAGGTTGTGGTGCTGTTAGCTACAGTACACACTTAATTCAGCCGTCAATCAAGAACTGCCCCTCAGACATTTTTATATGCTGCATTCAACTTGATTTATATATTAATGAAAGTGAAAGAACAACGTTGTTTAAGATTGTGTGGTGTTTTTAATTATAATTTAATAAAAGGATAATTAGTAGAAAAAATATTTCAGATGACCCCATTTGAATTCCAGCATTTTCAGACGACCCCATTTGAATTCCAGGTGTACCCATGTGGGGTTGCGACCCACATGCTGTTGGAGCTGTTGGAGGTTTGAACCAGTGAATAGGTGACCTTTTTGTTGTAAGGCAAGTGTGAACTAAACTCATCGTTTGAACTTGTTAATTGCGGCGTTGGAAGAAAACCATATTTCTTAAGTCTTGGCATTTTAAAGAACTTGAAATTACATTTTCAACCAATGGCGGTATTATTTTGTAATTTAGGCTATTGATGCCTTTGAAGACTCCCTTTGTCAAAAAGAAAGTGCTCCTTTATCAGAAATAATATGGCTCTACTTTTCTATATGCAGATACACATACACCTATACTGTAGGTGTTTTTGCACTTGCTCGTTTGTAAAGTCTGGATATAAGCCGCGGCTTCTTTTACATGAATTACGGTAATCTGTGTTTCCAGTTATTACCAAACAAACCCTTTTTCCTCTGGACTCTGGCTTTATCGCCGCAGCGTGCAGAGAGATGAGGCTCACTGCTCAGTGGGTTTGAAGAGGAACGAGCCTCTCTGCCTGTGTTCACCGTAATTGGAGAATATCTCACCCCAAAGCACCAGTCTGGCACTTTTTTTTCCTCCCCCCTCCTATAATAGTTTTTGGATGACGACGACGTCAGTTGTACCGCAGCATATGCTACGACTGGCTGTGAGTTTGCAGACGGCAGTTCAAACGGGACACATTCGTTGTTTGGTTTTAGTCTCGTCGTGGGATTTGTTAAAACAATCATAAAAAAAGAAAAACACAGAAGAAAATGCAACATTTTGTACTGGAGAACTAGTCAGAAATACCAGCAGCGGTGGTACTCTGCAGTACTGCAGTAGGAAGACAAATACATTGAGTACTGTTAGCAGAGCTGAGTGTTTGTCCTGCAGTGATGGATGTGACGTTCTAGATTCACGAGAACCACAAGGAAAAGTTACAGAAAGAATAGATGTTTATTTTGATTATTCCAGTTTGTGTGATTATAAATACATTCTATGGACATGAACATATGTAACAGGGCGTCTTTAGTCATCTGTACAGGGACACTGAGACAGCAGAGATTCTTGGCCGTGTATCTGGGCTCACACACCATCGCCGTTTCGCTGACTTCGCTTCACTTTCCGGCGTAGAACGCGTCGTCGGTATGACGGCCTCAAAAATGATTTTTTTTTTTTTTGAAAAGCCCGAAAATGTGCCTGCAATTTGTCTAATGCTCTGTGGGTACGAAATAAAAATCTCCAGGAGTGTGTTTTTCACATCAAATTAATATTATATTGATGATCTGACAAATACTGTATGACTTCCCTTTGGAGAAAAACAGGCTGTTTATACTGAGCGGAAGGCTTTTGTGACTGGTTGCACTCTGATTCCCAGTGAGTAATGTTCATTAGCTTCTTAGTCAGCAGAGAAATTCAGCAATTCAACAAAGTTAGAGCCTAAACGATTGGAAATGAGCGACTTGTCCAGAATGTGGAACTCACAAAAGTGCGGGAGAGAAAATGATGGTGTCACGTCTGAGTGGCAGCGAGGTGGAGCCGCTCAGACTGAATTTCAAGAGAAAAACAAGCTGCGCGGGAGAAAAAGATGAAGTGGAAAAGATGAATGAGACGCAGGAAGGGAGAGAGAGAGAGAGTGAAAGGGAGTGTGAGAGGAAATATAGGTAACAACATGCTCACTGCAGTCCAAATAAAATCCTCACCACTGGTTCTCTCCCCCACATCACTCCCACACCTGCAGCACACTCCCAGTGGGCGGCATTGTGTAATTTGGCACATCCATTTCCTAGCCTGAGTTTCTCCGTCTCCCGTGCTGTCGAGGCTGCCACAAACCTCATCAGAGAATTCCAGCCAATTTTTTTTTTTTTCGAAGCGTGCCACTGACTGAACTGCACACAGATCTGGACTCCCAGCCTACGTGACCCACTCATTTGCGACCCCGCGCCGCGCGTCTCCTCCACAGATGTGTTTCTCGACTAGTTCTGTTGAGCCTTCCAGCCTCTGAGAACAGATGGTGTTTGATCTGGTTCTCTCCTCCTGCACCACACCACTGCACATCCCATGGTCCTTCTCTTTGGTCCGCCTTATAATTAAGTGGCCCTTCACTGGGCCATTTATCCCAAACCCAGGGCTCCC